GACAGTATGACGCCCTCCTTCACCACTTCAATGGTATTAAGAGCCGCAGCAGCAGTTCCACAACTTTACTGGCTCCTTACGCTCTTGAGGCCGCTTGGGCAACAAGCCGCTGGGATCTCCTGTCCAGTTATATTCCCCGAGAGATTGGACACGATTTTGCTTCGCACATTGCAGAAATCATACTAGCCGTCAATGCCAACGACGTGGCAAAGGTGACTCAACTGCTTTCGGAGGTATTTCGCACCACCGCCTCTGAACTCAACCTCAACAACATCTCTTCATTCCAGGCCAGCCATGACACGCTCCTACGCTTGCATGTTCTCAATGACATGCAATTGATCGTCCAAAGTCCCAAAGAAGATCGTGCCGCCGTTCTAGACACCTTACGCGGACGTCTTGACGTGCTCGGATCGAACGTCGCCGATAAACAGTATATCCTGGGAATTCGCAGGGCACTGATGTCTCTCAGACCAGATATGTTCAGCTTAAACGATGTTGCGGCCGCATGGCTCTCGAGTGCCCGACTTGCCCGCAAAGCACGTTCAAGCACTCAAGCTTTCAACGCCGTTCTCAAAGCTTCCGTGCTCGGTGACAAGTCTGCAGCAATTGAACAAGCGAAATTGATGTGGTTGGAAGGACAGCACCGAAAAGCTATCCAAACTCTGGAAGGGGCCATTGAGTCAGGGGCATTCGTGGCCCATGATTATGTGGCTGAGAATGGACCAACAACAATGACTGTAGAACGACGCCACTCCCAGAACGAAATCACCGCGAAGGCACATGTTCTTCTTGGGAAATGGTTAGCACAAGCTGGTCAAACTCAATCGGAAGTCATTAGAAAAACGTTTAGAAAGGCAACAGAAACCTTCAGCAAAGGGGAACAAGGGTGGTACCACCTTGGCCGCTACTACAACAAAGTTCTGGACTCGGAAAGAACAATGCCGCCTGGCAAGGAGAGCCAGACTTATCTGACGGGAGAAACGGCGAAACATGTTATCGAAAACTACTTACGATCACTCCTCACTGGGAGCAAATACGTTTTCCAAGCCCTTCCGAAAGTGCTCACACTCTGGCTGGAGCTAGTAGATGGAGATCTTCCACGAGATGACCGACGAGGTAGCGCCGAGTTTCACTCCAAAGTTGCAGCGCAGCGAAAACGCATCATTGAGGAGACGAATAACCAGATCAAAAAGTACACTGACCGTTTGCAGCCGGTATTACTCTATACCATCCTCCCACAGATTGTTGCACGTATATGCCATCCCAGCAAAGTGGTCTGTGAGATTCTCAGCAGCATTGTGGTCAAGGTAGTGAGAGCGTTCCCTCAACAATCATTCTGGACGTTGCTGGCGGTGGTTGAATCACAACAGAAGGAGCGGGCACTGAAAGGTTTGAGCATCGTCAACAAGATCGTCGAGGTCGCGAAGAAATCCAGCAAGGACTCATCCGCGGCCGAGCTCAGGAGCATGTTCACCAGCGGCCAGAAATTCGTCAAGGAACTCCTTCGTGTCTCCGAATTTGAAATCAGGAACAAAGTCACGAAAATCAGCCTCGCCAGAGAACTAGGCTTCAACCACAAAATCGCCCCTTCTAAACTGGTGGTCCCCAACCAAACTTGCCTTATTCCCAGCATGCCCACAAGCTTCGAACCGGCACAGCTGAAAGCATTCCGTCCTTTCACGAAAGAACCCATCACCATCAGCGCCTTTATTGACGAAGCCCTTGTGTTGGCGTCTCTCCAGAAGCCCAGAAAGCTCACCATTCGTGGTTCTGATGGCAACCTGTACTCCGTTCTTGCCAAACCGAAAGATGACCTCCGCAAAGACCAACGGCTCATGGAGTTTAACAACATGATCAACCGCTGTCTTAAGCGGGACGTTGATGCTGCTAAACGGAGACTCTATATTCGCACTTACGCCGTTATTCCGATGAACGAAGAATGTGGCTTGATTGAATGGGTGGACAACCTCAAGACTTTCCGGGATATCATTCTCAAGCTGTACAAGGATAAGTCCATCCATCCGAACTACATGGAGATCCGGAATCTACTGGACGAGTCCTGCTCAGGAGATCCCGAGAACGCAAAGATCTTCACGAACAAAATCCTCAAGAAATTCCCCCCAGTGTTTCACGAGTGGTTCGTTGAGAGTTTCCCAGACCCAAGCGCGTGGTTCAATGCAAGATTGAGATATACGCGGTCGGCGGCGGTGATGTCGATCGTGGGCCACGTCTTAGGCCTGGGCGACCGGCATGGCGAGAACATTCTTTTTGAAGAAGACAATGGCGGGACTTTACACGTGGACTTCAACTGTCTATTCGACAAGGGCCTCACGTTTGAGAAACCCGAGATGGTCCCATTCCGGCTGACCCACAACATGGTCGACGCCATGGGCGCGTACGGCTACGAAGGCCCGTTTCGAAAATGCTGCGAAATCACCTTGACGCTCCTGCGATCCAACGAGGACGCCCTCATGACCATCCTCGAAACCTTCCTGCACGACCCCACCACGGACTTTATCAACGCGGTCGGACGCAAGAAAAAAGTCGTCCCGGGCGTGCCCAGCACCCCGGTCGAAGTGCTCGAGGGCGTCAGCGGCAAGGTCAGGGGCATGTTGCCGGGCGAATCGGTGCCCCTGAGCGTGGGTGGCTACGTCGACGAGATGATCAGCAGGGCCACGGACCACCGCAACCTGTGCAGGATGTACATCGGGTGGTGTGCTTTCTTTTGATTGTCCTCGCTGTCAGATCCCCAGGGACAGCCGCGATCTGTTGTTGCTTCGAGGCAGATCTAACTTTGAGGCTGCCCTCATGTGCCATGCAAGTGAGTGGTGATGGCGAGGTCGGAGAGTTGTGGCGAACGAAACACAAGCTCCAACAGCCGTTTTGACAGTTCAGTCTCAGGCATTCGGACATTGTCACGGAAGAGAGGAGCTAGCCATAAAGGCTTGGGGAACATTGTTGGATTGCGCTTGGTCATTAAAGCATAGCTGCACAGCCACCTTGTCCTAAAGTATATAATGTATAGCAAGAAAAGAAAATACCATGTGGTATTTCCACAGCGAGCAGTTCAGCATCTCATTCTTCGTCTCGTGTCTGTCTCAGTGCACTCGCTGTATACCCAAGTTTCCCGCTCTATAGACAAAACGAGTTCGATTCTGCATAATCACATCTATCCAGTGCAACCACCATCATATGGATTTCGAAATCGTCAGGCTACGATCTTGTATCTGCTCATTCGTTTTGCACAGGCGACGACGAGAACATATCTCCGGCGTCGACACCCTGAGACTCTTCTTTTTCCTCGTCCACTGCTTCGATGCTGGTACCAGCAGTTCTGGATGTGTCCGCCTCGATGGGGACGGGGACGTCTCCACTAGCGGATTCCCCAGTCTCTGGCATCCGGGCAGTGGCACTGGTGAGGCTTGATCTTGGTGGAGCAGAGTCCAGGTCGGCAAGGCCCTGAGAAAGTCCAAGACCGATTGGTGCGGTACCTTGCAGAGGGGAAGAGGAGAACATGTCCGCTCCATAGCTTTCATCCGGTCCATCATCACCAACGGCCGCCTCAGAACGAGGAGGAGTCGCTGCTCTGACCGTGCGTAGAGATCCTGCGGGTTCTCTGTTGGTGGTATGTTGTCGTGCTTCCTGTTCGGCGAGCAAGGCATCCAGGTCATCGTCCTGGTCGACATTTCCCTCATGGGCTCTAGAAGTAGCAGGGTCTTTGTGCTGCGTCGTCGACGCCTGTATGCTGGGTTGTATCCGCGCCTCTTGCTCTGCTAGCAGGGCATCCAGATCGTCCATGTCATCGTCATCATCGTCGTCGTTCCCGCCGAAGGGCGAGGGATTTAGCTTGGGCGCAAATGTAGGTGCCGACTGGGAGATAGGCTGAGGCGGAGGTGCACGCCTCATTTCTTGCTCAGCTAGTAAGGCATCGAGATCATCGTCGCCCTCGGAATCGTTGTCGTCTATTGGTTTCGAGACGGACAAGGGACGCGCTGTGCCACGTGTCTCCTGTTCGGCCAGTAGAGCATCAAGCTCGTCATCATCTGGAAGAGCACCATCATCGTCCCCGTCATTGTCCTTGTTGCGGACGTCTGGAACGAATAAAGAGTCATCCTCTGTGCCAATGCCAGCATTCGAAGCCTCCTGGCCGGCAGAAAGTTGATCTGCCGCAAACAGATTATCTGTCTCCTTGTCTGCCTCCATCTCTTTCTCTGCTGCCTTCTTCGACTCCCTTTCTCTGATGTATCCCGGCTTGCCCTCATCAATCCACTCTTTCCTCATAACTTGCATGCGTCGACTGTGCCCGGCCTTCTCAATCAGTTGTAGTCCATCCGCAAACTTGGCTCGAGGATATAGATTATCGAGCCATAGCTGGTAGTAATTCAACAGCCGTGCGACGTCTGAGAACTCATGGCCCTTTCCCTTCAGCCGCAGCTTTTTCGAGAACTTCCCAGAGCGAGCATCGGTGCGTAACTTGGGAATTCCTGGGGCCGAGAGGAGTCTCGCTTCGTCGAGTTTTGAGATGGGTTTCCTCTTTTTTGTGATTTTGACCTCTTCGTCCAAACCCAGAGTTGCGTCGAGCGGGTCTATTGCTTTTCGTTTGGAATTGGGGCTCGACATTGGCTCATCATCACGGCCTCGCCGAGGTGGTCTGTCGTTGAAGCCATCTTCATAGTCAGAGTTGTCAAGGTTCAACAGGCTATCAACGGTTGCAGCGGTCAGAGGATCTGCTGCCATCTTGTAGTGATATGTTCGTGGTTACTCTGTGTTGTAAAGAGGGTTGACAGCAGCACCAGCGGTCATTGCACTGAAGACGTGGGGAACGCGTTCACACGAGATTCGGACGCGTCGAAACTTCGCCGTGTAAAATACGTCATTTGAAATAAAAGGCTATTCCATTTTTGATCTAGTCCCTTGGCACCTCCAAAGCTCCGCATGCTCGATGAACCTCACGATTCAATGCTGCGGACTGCGTTCGAGTGAGCACTGTCGCTACAACCATGGCTGACGAGCAGAAGGTGTTTATCCCGCCCAAGCGGGTGGACACAGACTATCCGGTAAGGTGGAAGAACAACGGGTTGCAGAATTCAAGCTAATATCTACCTGTGACAGATTATCGACACAGACCCGTACGTTCCTCGTTCCTCGCACGTTTTAGAAGCTTCCCTCGACCTGTTACTGACACAATGATTCTTCAGTCACTGGAGAAGAGCATTCGGATATGCAAGAAGAGAAGACTGGTTATACGGAGCCGGAATGGCAGCCGTGGGTCCGGCTTTCATGCTCGTCACGGAACGCTACGCACCCTCGTTTTCCGGCAGAGGCGCATTCCCCATGGCCTTTCGACTTGGGTGTGCCGTTGGCCTGATAGCAGGTGCGGGATTGGTCTATCAAAGGAGTTGCTGTAGGTACCACCCGCGAGAACAGATTCGCGCACCGGAGTCGATGAGCGTGGGCTGATGAAGATGCGACGACAGTGAGGTTCTACGGCTGGACGGAAAACGAACGAGAAGTCAAGATGGACATGAGGGAGATGGTGGATAAAGTTAAGAGGGGGGAGCCGCTTTATGGCAAGTCAGACCTCACCCCGTACATGCAAGGTGTGGCGGCGCGGAACAGCAGATACTCGGCACTGATGGCAAATGTGGTACCATGGGCGAATTTTGTCAACCACAACCAGGTAAGAGTTGTTCCCTTAGATGATTGAAGGTGTGACGAGCTGACACATTCTAGCACGGTGTGGACACCGCCAAATACTATCAGCAAGCAGAGCGAGAGTTGGAAGCTGAGAGATTATCAAAGGGTGGCAAGTGAGACATGGAAGTTCCAAAAAGACTTGAAACTGAGACGACAGGTCAAATCAACTACAAGATCTGACTTGCTCATCCTCCCACGGATTGTACATAAGGGCACATCAGGTGACCAAGAAGGAGGCCGGATGCCATTCGGGCTCAACTGATGCGCAACTGAAAAAGACCTTTGAGACTTGACTTTCTTTTCCCTTTCAACTCTTCTTCTTTCCTCCAAGGTCTAGTATATATACATATCCTGCTAATTTGAGTCCAGGATCTCCAAGGCCCGATGGTTGCTTGCACGATTCTTGTCCAGTTTCTAGATCTTTCAACACCAACTCGTTTTGTTCTGTCCTGTCACTTCACATTCCGGATAAGTTCCCAGGTTTGGCGACTTGTCACTTGTGAAATGATAATATCACCGTGAGCGCGCCAAGGAATTTGCTTCTACCAGCACTGAATCTCGCTGCCCTAAGTTTCGCTGCCTTAACCCTGGCTGTCTGTGAAGATGGACCTTTTGTTGTGTGTGTGTCTTGTCAAATTGATCAAAGAAGACACTTGGAACTCTTCATCTCACACATACATCATCGTCTATCCAAGATGCGCGCGCAAACAGAAGAGAACCCGTGGGCAAATGCCGATGTCAGCTACACTTCAGCCGTGTGGGGAGACAGTAAGTGCTATTGCTCTACATCGTGGCGCGCTTTCATTAACCAGACTCCAGATGTCGCCGCCAGCCAAGTGTTCATTCTTCCGACTTTTGCGTCTGGTGAAGGCACACGCCAACTTCTGTCCATAACAAAGCAAGGCATCAGCGACCTCAGTGTCCAAACCTGCGAACTCGCTCACGAAGCCAGGACTGCCGACCATGAACAATTCGCCATCAAGTGCGCCGTAGTTGATGAGCACCGTCACCAGCGGCGAGCACAGGGATCTGAATCACAGACTTCCGACGTGAGAGTGCTCTCAGCAAAAATCTCCGCCTTGCGAATCATCAAAGATTTCGAATTTTACGCGGTGCTAGTTCAGCAGGCCCATGGTGTTGCAGAGCATTTGGTGGGCAAATTCGAGCAGTTGCAAAAGGTGGCACAGACGGTGCTCACCGAACAAGAGGAAAACGGCACCAATCTCGCAAAGACGCCCGAGGCTGTCAAAAAGCTCACAATCAGCATGAAATGCGTGGACTCCATCTGGGCCGACATCATCGCATCATGGAAAAAGCTCAAGAGATTGGACAGTGGAATTCAGAAGGGCAAGACGACGTTGCTGCCGCTCCGTGATAACCTGAAGCTCATCGGGATTAACATTATGGGTGCAGAAGAGAGCGATAACCCTGCACTAGAAGGAGATCAAGATAATTCAGTCGCCGACAGCGAAGCCAAAGTTGTTCACAAAGCTTCCCTTGAGGAAAGCCCGATGGAAGAGACGGGTGACACCACCGAACCGTCGTCATCTAGCGGCCGCTCTCTCTCCAGTGCGGATACCATGGGAGCGCTGATCGAAAAGTTTGTCGAGAAGTGCATGATCAGAGATGCCCGACACTATGCCAGCGAGGATGGCAACGACGCGGATCTTAGCACCCCAGCACTGAAAGATTCGGATTCCGACAAACCAAATCCCGGCAGCGAGCTTGTCAACACCGAGGGCACCCAAGGGGAGGTGGAAGACGCCACTGTGGCTGATTCCGGGGCAGATGGCGAGGAAATCGCAGAGTCGAGCGAAGGGGGTGATGAGGACGACAGCGATGAGCTCGATATCATCTGCAGCGAGCCTTCATCGCCGGCTAAGCCTGCGCCGGAAGAGCGTTAGGTGAACAAGATTGCAGAATAACGAGAACCTCGAGTGGATGTGGCCATGAATAACTCAGGCAGGAAAGAGCAATGTGGAGTTTAGGCCGGTGCCCAAGACAAACAGGATATTCATTCATGAGTCCAAACCATAGGGAGGATAGGCAGTAATACACAATGAACCATGAACTATAGATCAATCTGCGTACCAACTCAGTACCTGACTGCGCCTCTCTTCAACATCTAAAGAGTTCTGTGAGCCTTGCATAGCTACCTACGCACGCTGCCTAGTCGCGTGTTGTTGTCGTTAGTTTCGTGGCGTGGACGAGGCTGTGCGGTTACCTAGTTTAATAAGGCTGCGCCTCGTTCAAGTCTCAGTAAACGCCCAACTTCCTCCCTCCTTCTCAGCTACGAAATCCTTCTAGTCATCTCGTCTTATACCTCCAGCCTCTGCTCCCCAAGTCATGGCAGACCATACCGCTCATGTCATTGTGCGTGACCCGGAAAAAGAGCATGAAGAACGGCTGCGTTCCATCCGTAATTATCAGTATGTTTCAGCGGAGCAGAGTCCAAACCATGCCTTCTGCGCTCGATGTAAACTCATCAACTTTGAAGCCATCTTCAAATTACTGGAGACCCAGTCAGACTCACAAGAGACTGCGGTCGCTGACATTGGCAACCTCAATCGGACGATGTTAACTGCGACTTGCCCCTGCTGTGTCTTTTGTGCACAAATTGTCTTCCTCAACAAGCCGCAATATCCTTTCGACGAGGTTAGTAGAGCCTACATCGAGGCACGGTCTTGCAGGAAGGACGCAAACAATCAAGATGGAACGAACCAAGGGCCCTGTGGCTCCTATCACAAACGTTTGAAGCTCCGTTGGTCTGGCCCAAATTTAGGACCATTTGACAATTGGAGAACTGGACCTATATCAGAACACCTCATCTTTCCATCTGGCCAGAAGACAGGTAGTGCATGGGCTTTTGGAAACACCACAGCAAAGGCACGACATATTGATCCGAACACCATCGAATATGGCCACATCGTTGATTGCCTGCGACAATGTCGGTCTAGCCACACAAGTTGCACGAAACTAGACCCTGAATTGACTGTCAAGACAAGGTTGATCAATTGCCGGACAAACCCTCCAACCCTTATCGATGGCTCGACGGACATGGATTATTTTGCGTTGAGCTATTGCTGGGGCCTTGCGCAGCCTGGTGTGACAAGAAAAGCGTATACAGCAGTCGGAGCCTTGGAGGTAGCATTGCTGCCCCAGACAATAAGAGATGCCATTGTTGCTACTCATAAACTGGGGTGTGATTATTTATGGGTTGACGCAATCTGTATCGATCAAGACGATGCAATCTCCAAACAGGTCCTTATCAACAAGATGGACTATCTGTACAACAAGGCAGGCCTTGTCCTCGTTGCTCTGGGAGACGATTCGCAAACAGGCCTTCCTGGAATCTCGACACCCAGGTGCACACAACCTGCTCTCAGAGTCGGTGACACCAAACTAGTCTCGAACATGTCTGAACTGCGCGGGCTGTTACAAGGCTCTAGGTGGAGTAGTCGAGGCTGGACATATCAAGAGGCGCTACTGGCTCGCAGGTGTCTTTTCTTCACTTCTGAGCAGTGGCATTTTGTGTGTAAAGCTTCATCAGCTTATGAGACTTTGGTGGAAGATCTGCCAAAATTTGACGACTGCCGATTGGATCTTTATGCATTACGGTCGACGCTGTTTCGGACAGGAGCAACCAATGCGCATGATCTCGAGATTACCGAAGATATTCGGGAATATACAATCAGGGACTTGTCATTGGACGCTGACTTTCTCAACGCATTTCGGGGAATTTTGCGTAGGAGTGGGTTACATTCTTTGTGTGGAGTTGCCGCATTGAAACCAAAGAACTGCCATTTTGTACATCAGGACCTCGAAAGCGGATTTGCTCTGGGACTCTATTGGGCTGCTCAAGATCGCCATTTAGAGACGACAGCAGGTCCAGGCCCTCCGCGCACTACCCGTCGCCCTGGCTTTCCCACATGGTCGTGGCTATCGTCACGCGGTGTGATTGAGATGACTTGGAGTAATCCCCAGGATTTCATATCAAACTTCTCAGGGATAGATGTCCATGCCTCCTTCAGCGTGCTGGACAATGGTGGTATCGCGACGCCTTTAGCCACCCTGTGGCAGAAGAGTGCCTCAGGGGGTCTCTTGGACAAATTTCTGGAGTTACAACCGGGCCAGCATCTTCAAATTACCAGTTATATTGTCAAGGTCCGGTTCATGAAACCGACTCAGGCCGTCATGTTCCAAGAATACTGGTTCGTCTTAGACGGTCCACTTGTGCTCTTCCCGGACGATACTTGCAATCCCTCCACCCACAAGCCGTCAGCGTTCTACTCAGCGACCTTGAAAATCCCAACAGGGGAACCTCGAAAGATTCACGACCAGGAAAGCATTGGCTTTGACGTGGAAGCGTTCTCTGACCCCGGCCTCCGTGCGCGCATCCTTGTGGACGAATTCGAGTTATTGTTATTAGCTTCCCACGGGTATGAAGAGCGACAAGTGAATTATTGGATCATTTTGGACAAAGAGCATGGGAGAAGGAAGAGAATTGGGACTGCCTGCTGCAATGGTCACAGATACACGGTCGCCGATCCCAGTCAGCAGGGTAAGCCTTGCAAGTCCCCCCACGCTGATCAACCATCCGAGTCTCCTAACGACTGCATCTTCCTTTCAAAAAAGACCACCATTACCATGGTGTAGACGTCAGTCAATCGTCGATCCTATCTGCTTTTCGAGCTCTATCTTGAACTGTTCTACAATCTTCCTCAGGGCTCCTACCACCCGCAAGTTTGCGCATGAATTGAACAGTGCTTCTGCTCTGGCGTCTGCCTCAGTCCAATCGCTGTCCAGATAAGCGTCTTGCGCTGTTCTAGACCTCTTTTTCGGACTGTGATAGGGATATATGATGCCAAATTGTTTCAAGAGCTGAGTGAGGTTCTCCTTGGTGCATCTGTGGAGATCTTCAATGGCACTGCGGAGCGAGTGGTTGGCACTGTTGCTGGAGTCCAACGAATCCAACGCCAAGGCGGACAACTGATATTGGACAACATTCTCGACCTCCTGGATCGCTTGGAAATAGAGGTCTCCGGTGTGAAAGTGACGGACCCCTGTCTCACTTAGGTCTGTTGCACTTGACGGGAATGTCATATCTGCAAAGGAAGCTATATTTGAGCTCATCTCGTCGTGCTCCCTCGAAGCCTTAGAGTAAGCCCTGCAGATTTCCCCAGACCCTAGTTGCATGACGCAGGCAGGTATATGTCCGTCTCTAGCCTTCTTCAGGCACCTTTCACGCTGCAAGACTGCCCTTCTCAGTTGTGACTTCTGCCAGGCGACGCTGGGAGTGTCAGAGATCCAGGTGGTCATCAGCCCAGCTTCGTAGCCGATGACATTGTTCCGCGAGAAGACCACCTGCTTGACCTGGCTGTTGAAGCTGACGGCCTTTTTGGTCGAAACCACTCGAGAGACTTGGTCTGATTTGGACCCCCGGCTCGTGCCCAGACCAAGGTGAGCCTCATCAACCCCCGCCATATCACTTGCCTTTAACGCCGACGGCCTTTCCAGCTGAACCCGTGGTGGGTTGTTTACTGGTTTAAGGCCTGGGTAGCAATAGCATACACTACCAAGGCCGTCATACTCACAGGGCTCAACCCCAAATGCGGCTTGGTGACTTCTTTTTGTGCCACGAGGTGTCCTATCGGCGATGAAGGCCGCGTTGGAACAGGCCACTCCCGTCATTGCTTTGGCAGCGGCGGGATCCTCCACAGGATTTCGGGGAGTGGTGTTGATGTTGGATGTGTCCATGGTGGAGGTGCGGGAAGTGGAAACGGAGCCCTTCTCGGAGGTAAAAGGTAGCAGGCGATGATAGTGTGTCGCTTGAGGTGTTGGATGAGGAAATCTGAATTAAGGCAGATGAATATGGAGAGCGCCATGCTGCGAGTAGAGGCGTCGACTTATGTGGGAATATCTGAGGACCTGCCATGCTGGGCCCATGTTTCTGGAAGTCCTCTCCAGAGTTTTCCCCGTCAACTATCTGAGCAAATTTGTTCCTCCTTTCCGCAGCCATAATGTCGATGAGGACTTGCAGTCCAGTGAACCGGTACGCGTTACGTGTTGGTTCCAAGGGGCTGTAAGTAGAAGGTCAACAAACAAGGCTGGAATGTCCCGAAAAGGAGATCGACGTCACAAGGCCGCGGGCCCCTTAAAAAGTCCAGTTTGTCGAGGAAGGTGGCCCGAGCTCAATTGCGGACAAGTTTCATGTTCGACACGTCCACAAAAGAGACAATACAGCATACCTTCAGCCCATGGACTGACTGTTCTCACGCGATCCCAAGATGATACTGAGGTCAGAACTACTCGTACTTTCTCAATTACTCGTATCCCAGGCATGGGCGGCAGAAACAAGGGCATCTGAGTCTTCACGGCCCAGAGGCGTCGGTCCAGAATGTAAGAAACGACTCTCGATCTCTACACACCCCATATCCATGCGGTTCCCCCTCAATCTGGATGGTTTTTGCTCTCGATTGGTTTCAGACAGCTAAGAACTGAGCCATGTGCTTCCGCAGTTGCAAAATTCTACAAGAGTGCGCCGTCAAATATATTCACATGCATCTCCAACCCCTCGATATCCATCCCCTTCTCCCGCGTCAACGACGACTTCTGCGACTGCCCCGACGGCTCAGATGAGCCAGGCACATCGGCCTGCTCCTACCTCTCCCCTTTATCTCCTCCACAGTACCACCCGGGCCCTGACACACCCGCCAGCGTCTCGATAAATAGTACACTTGCCCTACCAGGGTTCTACTGCAAGAACAAAGGCCACGTCCCCGCCTATCTGCGGTTTGAGAGTGTGAACGATGGCAAATGCGACTATGACGTGTGCTGTGACGGGTCGGATGAGTGGGCCAATGTCGGGGGCATCAAGTGCGAGGATCGTTGCCAACAGATCGGCAAGGAATACCGCAAGACGGAGGAGACACGCCAAAAGAGCCTGAGGGCCGCGTTGAAGAGGAAGTCCCAGCTGACGACGGAAGCGGAGCGGCTCAGGAAAGAAGTCGAGATCAAGATCGAGGACGCCCAGATCAAACTCAAGGGGTTTCAGATCCATGTCAAGGAGGCGGACGAGAATCTGAAAGAGGTGGAGAGAAGAGAGAAATTAAAGGCTATACGAGGGAATGCCAGTGGAAAAGGTGGTGGTAAAGTCGGTGTTCTCGTCGGGCTGGCGAAATCGCGGGTGGACGAGTTGAGGACCCATTTGGAAAAGACAAGATACCAGAGAGACAGCATGGTCGCTCGGATTACGGAACTGGAAGGCATTCTCGCCGCGCTCAAGGACGAACATAACCCCAACTTCAATGATGATGGAGTGAAACGCGCTGTTCGCGGGTGGGAAGATTATGCCGCGAGGGAGACTGACGATGGCTGGACCGAAGCCGAAGACCGTGACCTTGACGCTGTTCTCACAGAGGACAGTGAGACAAACGGGATCAACTGGGCCGAGTTCGAGAACGACCTATCCGCAGAGGCCGAGGCGGAATCAGACGTGGCAGCTCTCTACAGATTCAGCGCCTACTTGCCGCCGTCGCTCCGTCTGTGGCTCGACGAAAGTATTTCCTCATTCCGCAAGATACTTGTGGAGAACGGTATATTGGCTGATACGTCCGTCAACTCCTCTGCCGCTACTCAAGAGTCCAAAGCCGTGCAGGACGCGAAAAAGACTCTCTCCGATGCAGAGCGGGATGTGCGCAATGCCGAAAACGACCTACAGCGATTCCGCGAGGACCTCGAAAAGGATTACGGTCCCGAAGGTGGCATATTCCGCGCGTTGAAAGACACGTGCATTTCCAAGGACAGCGGCGAGTATGAGTATGAGCTGTGTTTCATGGGGTCGACCAAGCAAAAGCCCAAGAAAGGAGGAGCACATACGGGAATGGGCAATTTCGTCGGCTTTGACACGGAATATGTCGACGAGCCCCCAACCACGGATGGAAAGGGGCTCGGTACGGGCGAGCGGTTGGTTATGAAGTATGAAAACGGTCAGCATTGTTGGAACGGACCGAACAGGAGTACGAGGGTCATTCTTGCCTGTTCGGAGAAGGAGGAGATCTGGAAGATCAGTGAGAGCGAAAAGTGCGTTTACCGCATGGAGGTTGGCACGGCCGCGGTCTGCGAATCACCCTCGAAGAAGAATGGCGGCGGTGGCAGCAGTGGTGCTGGGGTTGATGAGACCAAGAAAGATGAACTGTAAAGTATTGGGGGTTTCTTTTGGCTTTCTGAAAAAGAAAAAGCAAGGGGTTTTTTACCCGAGTAGATACGGATCAATTGGATGCGCGAGATTTTGTCACAACCCCAAGGCTAATAAATGCTCAACATCAATATCTAACACATGCATTTTTCTGGTTGATCCCTGTCTCATTGGGCTTCGAATGGAGAATTGTGAGTCCACTGTCTGTTTATCATGCAAGAAGGGGGATGGGAGAAGGATAAGAGATCTCTGTTGTACAGATACAAATGTGAACGAATAGGCTTATTGGTGAGCACTCTCTGGCTGGGGACGAGAAGGGATACATTGGGCGAGGTCAAGATGAAAGAACGAGAACGAGTTGAGTCCATGTGGGAAGAGTCATTGCCATGTTATTTTCGTGGGTTGGATAACTAAAAGGCCTTGTTTGAGTCCTTGTCCTGCTTTCTGCCATTCACAATGTTGGGCCCTCCTTTTTCCGCCAACATACAACTCCCATGCATTGATGCATACGGGGGATCAAGCGAAGAGCACCGCTGCAAAGTCCACGTTTTCCCATTTTTGCCTAGTTGAACAAAAGGGGGAAGTGCAGTTGTGAAGATGGCATGCGCCAAAATGAGGGAACCTCCATTCAGGATGCGAGATCTCGTGATGAATACTTACATGGACGATCGAAGGACCAGTTTTTTCACGTAGTCCCAGAGTCGGATTACATCGTGAAAGAGCGCGGGAGAGGTCCCGAGGAGCAAGAACCCCGGCGGAAAGGCCCTGTACGGTTTCAACTTTAGGCATGAAGTTAGCATGTGCTCGAGAAGCTCGTCTTCCAAGTAGGAAACTTACCTGCCTAGAGGAAGAGTGAAAGATAGGGGCAGCCATGAAAAAGCTTGCACAGAGATAGTCAACATAGGCCTTTTCATGGCTGCCTCTATCTCAGATCCCCACCCTAGAAGGTAAAAAGTTCGCCCACAGGAAACAGGAACTTCCCGAACACAATGCTAATCTCATGCCTAACCTCTCATTGATGGTGTGAACGACGGGATCTTCACTGTGAAGTCGACATCTTGTTGAACACACATTGAATTTGGTGACAGTGACGGTATTGGCCATCAGCCGTTCCTCGTGCATGCTGCCGGGTTGGATACATCGCCATGCTGCATCGGCCTGCAGGGCTGCATCGCTTCTTGGCAGGTGAAAATGACACCATATTGTGAGGGGTTTGGGCAAAAATTGAACAAATATCACGAGAAATGGTAGGATATGAGACGATGCATCAGGGCTAACGAATGTCAGAGAGGGACAATGAATACTTATAAGTGTGAATGCTGGCGACAATGTGGACGACGAGATCCTTCTTATACCTGTCAAAAGCAG